AGAGAGAGAGAGAGAGAGTGAGAGAGAGAGACACACACACACACACACACACACACACAACAGAGAAAGGGAGAGAGAGAGAGAGAGAGAGAGAGACAGACAGACAGACAGGCTTCAGACAGACTGACAGACATGCAGACAGACAGACAAACAGACAGACAGACATATGCACAGGCAGACCTAAACCTAGACAGAGACAGTGACAGTGACAAAGAAAAAGACAAAATTGGGGGAAAAGTATCGTTTAATATTGTTTTCAGTTATTTCCAAGAGAAACAATCTTAAAACTAGTTACATGAACTATACACATATAACCTTAAGCGTCGTATCAGAGAGGGTTTTTTGAGATGCAGAGGATGAAGGAAAGAGAGAGAAGGGAATGGGGGGAGAGACACAGAGAGAGAGAGAGAGAGAGAGAGAGAGAGAGAGAGAGAGAGAGAGAGAGAGTATCTATCTATCTATCTATCTATCTATCTATCTATCTATCTATCTATCTATCTATCTATCTATCTACACACTCACCTCCAACGGTTGGATTTGTCCTGGAAGAACCGATGTCACACTGTACTTGGTCTCGTGGCCTGCACGCTTTGGTGGAATTGTCGAACAAGAACCCATCCCCGCACTTGGTAGAGCTCACTACTAGGCCTCTAGAGCACAGTAGAAACGTGTCACATCGACTTGGGTCTTGGGTATACCCGGAGAACACATCGCACGTTTCTGGTGAGACAGACGGAATGAAAGCTCTAGGTTGTGAATTGCACTTATTCCAGTTTCATTAAGTGCGAAATGCGCCCGGCGCAAAGGCTCAGCGCTCTTTGATTCGCGTGTGTATCTTCCGTGACGTAGCAGCGACAGATTTAGGTAGCTCGATGCCAAAGACCGGTATTTCCCAAGGGCCTTAGAAACTTATATTTATAACGTCATTGCGCAAAGAGGAATCTGACCAAAGATTCTCAACTGATTTGGAGCAAAGGAGGTTACCTGAGAACGCTACACAAATCTTTCGAGGTGACTACAAAGAATTAAAAACAAGGGGCAAAGATTCTCCACATACACAGTCTTTGCAAGGTGGTCTCCGGTTTTCTATCTTTAAATGTCGCCCAAGAATAGTCTGCTCCCTCACCCGCACACGACTGTTTCACTCGATATCATCTCTTTCATTGCCGCCGACTTGACCACTGGGACGAGGTTATGATACCACTGAGTGCTGGGTCCGTCCGACAGACCCGCGATATTAGTATATTTTGTAGGAGTAAAAACACCAAAGAATAAAAGGTTCGGACCACGTGCCAACAAAAATAAATTCGATGGGAACAAGGCTAGAGGGCAACCTAGAAAGACCTGGGTAGATGGAGTCAGGGAAACATTAACCCCCCTCGGCATCCCCCTGACCCAAGCTCTCCGGCTGGCGACAGAGACTTCTCTTTCTTCCCACGACACCCAAAAGGGTATAAGTGGCGGATAAAAGTAAAGTTATACGGGGTGCCCACTACGGCTAGATCGCCCAACTCGATCGCCTGAAACTGAAAACAAACTCGTTTGTTTTTGAGGCGACCGAGTCAGGCGATCTCCCCGATCGGGAGATCCCATCCGTAGTGGGCATCCCGCATAAAGTATGAGTAAAACAGCATAAGTTCTTATAATACGAAGGGAGTTCAGTGAAATAAATAAATGATCAGACAGTGAGGAAGAAGGTGCATTATATGAATATATGTAATTTAATGTAATTAAATTTCTGCATGTAGTTAAATGATGCATTTGATGTGAATGTACATTTTGTCAGCTTTACGTCTCTTTTCATACTGAATTTTAATGAGAGTAATATATAATGTCATTATTTTATGTATACCTGCATGTGTTTTTAACGGTCCTGTACAGCCAAGAAAAATTTCCCTGTGGGGTAATAAAGTATTTTCTTATCTTATTTTATCTTATCTTATCTTATCTTATCTTATCTTATCTTATCTTATCTTATCTTATCTTATTTTATCTTATGATTTTTGTCTTGGACAGGTAAAGGATAACCTATACAGAAGAAAGAGAAAATGTTGGCTTCCAACGTTGGTTGGTTATCATATCATACACTCATCTCACAGGCACCCAAGACAGACTAATGCCCTGGCTATGTTGTCGGTTCACGAAAAAGGGAGTAAGCAACTTGACTGCCTTTAACAAACTGGTTCTTGATAAGTTTGCAGAAAAGAAAAACAGACATGTATTCTACACAAACAGATACGCAAACAATGGCGTTACTTACATGGGTTAAAGGAGACAGGAACATAGAAAAAGGGACTTAGTGAGAGAAACAGAGGAAGTGAGAGAGAACGGAAGAGAGAGAGAGAGAGAGACAGAGACAGAGAGAGAGAGAGAGAGAGAGAGAGAGAGAGACAGAGAGACAGAGAGACAGAGAGACAGACACCAGGCTGACAGACAGACAGAGAGACAGGCGGAACTGAGACAGAGACAGGGACTGAAATATTGAGTGGGCAAATGTGTC